ATGGTATTACAGCCTACTGCACTACAGCTGATTAGGATGGCCTACAGTCTTTTACCCACATCTCTAAATCAAACAGGCTGGGAAGAGAGGATATGTTCAGATATTTCCAGGTCAGAGACTACTTCAACAAGGAAATCAAACAAACAGACAATAGGGATTCTAATCTGATCAGTATATTTACCGATGCATATAAGGCTAAAGACAGTAAACATTTAATATCACAAATTTATAAAAGACTACATTCTTCATACTGTTGTGGCATCAGTCATTTTCTTTGAAGTGGTCTAACTGTTTAAAAGTTGATTTTTCTTTTATTACACTGTATTTGGGTAAAATCCCCGTTGGACTTATGGCCCACGACAACTACCTTTATAAAGTGCTCTTGGCTGCAAGCAAGAAGGCCATTACACGGAAATGGCTGCAGACAAATCTGCCATCAAGGAATGACTGGATCTCCATTGTTAACGAAATACAATGCATGGGAAAACTTCACCCTAAGACTACAGACTGAACAGTATACAAAGTACTGGGAAAGATGGACTTCATATTATCTAATGTGTAACTCATTGTCTGTGTGAATGATCACTCCATTTTGCACTAATGTATGGCCTGTGTCAACCTTGTCAACCTGTCTGTTCACTTTTATTCTCTATATTTGTTCTATACTTTGTTTTTTGTTTGTTTGTTTTTGTTTGATTGTTTGTTTGTTTGTTATTGTTGTAAAAAAAGAACTGAAAACTTAAATAAAAAGAAAGTTTAAAAAAAAAGATCTCAGGTCTCAGGTCTCATGTCTCTTGTTTCTGGTCTTTGGTCTCTGTTCTCTGGTCTCTGTTCTCAGGTCTCCATTCATTGGTCTCAGGTCTCAGGTCTCAGGTCATTGGTCTCTGGTCTTGGGTCTCCGTTCTCTGGTCTCTGGTCTATGACTGACAGAATAAGAAAGTAGTCCCTCAGAGACAGAACCCGAGTTTGTTTGTGTGTTTCAGATCCAGGGTGCCATCATTGTGTCCAGTGTTGTGGAGGTTGTGATCGGTCTGTGTGGGTTGCCAGGTCTGCTGCTGGACTACATCGGTCCACTCACCGTCACTCCAACCATCTCACTGATTGGCCTATCTGTCTTCACCACAGCTGGAGACAGAGCTGGGTCTCACTGGGGCCTGTCAGCATTGTGAGGCTCTGTCTGCTCACCTCCATCTAGTCACTTGTCTGTCTGCTCATCTGTCTGTCTGTCTGTCTGTCTGTCTGTCTGTCTGTCTGCCAGTAGAAACCTGTCTGTGTTGTGACAGACAGCTGTCTCTCTCTCTGCAGGTGTATTTTGCTGATCGTGCTGTTTGCTCAGTACCTGAGAGCGACATCACTTCCTGTTCCTGTTTACAGCAGGAAGAAAGGACTGACCTCCACCAGAATCCAGATCTTTAAAATGTTTCCTGTAAATAAAAAACACACCAACAAAAAGCACCAGGTGATGATGTCAGGTGAACCGTCTTTAATTGTATTTTCTGCTTCTGTCGTCGCTCTCAGATCATCCTCGCCATCATGTTGGTTTGGCTCGTTTGTTACATTCTCACTCTGACCAACCTGTTGCCAAGCGACCCCAGTCGCTACGGACACAAGGCTCGAACCGACGCCCGCGGTGACATCATGGCGTCATCACCCTGGTTCAGAGTCCCCTATCCTTGTAAGACACCTGAATTCAGCCAATCACGGGCTTTGATGGTTTAAAAGATGCATGTGAACAGCTTTCAGTTGACGTCCCTGAGTTCTGTCTGACAAACAGAACAGACATTTTTATTTTTCCATCAATCAATAAATGGTCAGAGGTTAATCCTTCTGTGAGGTCACAAACAATGATGATGAAGGGGTTAAACATATACACAAGAAAATAGATCAGCGAGTATTTCTGACTGCCTGCTCCCTCTGGTGTCTGATAGGCCAGTGGGGGTTGCCAGTGGTAACGGTTGCCGGGGTGCTGGGGATGCTGAGTGCCACCATGGCGGGCATCGTGGAGTCAATTGGTGATTATTATGCCTGTGCTCGTCTGTCTGGAGCCACGCCCCCTCCAGTCCATGCCATCAACAGGTGAAACAGGAAGTAAAGGAGAAGTAAAGGAGAAGTAATGTTATCTTACCTGACAGACTCCACCCTCACAGGTGATTAATGGTTTGTTTATTTGTTTGTTTCAGGGGAATCTTCACTGAGGGAGTGTGCTGCATCATCGCTGGACTTTTAGGGACAGGAAATGGCTCCACCTCCTCCAGTCCAAATATAGGCGTTCTGGGCATCACCAAGGTAAGGCCACACACACCTGTGACAGGACCTGTACAACGAGTCCTCAGACCTGTACAACTAGTCCTCAGACCTGTACAACGAGTCCTCAGACCTGTACAACTATTCAATTCAATTCAATTTTATTTGTAAAGCGACAATTTCTAACAAACGTTATCTCTGTCTGCCTTGACCAGTCGGGGTTAACAACTATACTAGTAGAAATTACGTAATATTGGCAGCAGGCACCACCAGGATTCATGAGAACCTCCAAGAAAAAAACAAAAACAAAAAAGATGTTTAAATCGTTCACCCTGTGTGCAGGTGGGCAGCAGGCGGGTGGTGCAGTACGGAGCAGGTATCATGTTCCTGTTGGGATCAGTCGGGAAGTTTACAGCTTTGTTTGCTTCGCTGCCAGATCCGATCCTCGGTGGAATGTTCTGCACACTGTTTGGTGAGTCATAGTTACAGGTAAAGTGTTGATCCAGGTGTGTTAGTGATTTCATAATAACCCAGGTGTGTTTCTCAGGTATGATTACGGCTGTCGGCCTGTCTAACCTGCAGTTGGTAGATTTGAACTCGTCCAGAAATCTTTTTGTTCTCGGGTTCTCAATGTTCTTCGGTCTGACTCTGCCGACGTACCTGGACACACACCCCAACTCCATCAGCACAGGTGAGTGTGTGTGTGTGTGCAGTAAAACTAAAGATTTCCCTCACAGAATAGCAGTCGTTAGATAAAGATGATAGTTGACAGATTATTGAATGTTTCTGATATCACTGTATTGATTATAATCTGTTAACCAGCAGTAATGATTGTGACTCAGAATAAGCAGCAGGGAGACTGAAAT